CTGTCTGTCTGTCTGTCTGTCTGTCTGTCTGTCTGTCTGTCTGTCTGTCTGTCTGTCTGTCTGTCTGTCTGTCTGTCTATGAAATGGGAGCCTTAATAAATTCTCTCCCGCGAGCTTTCAAAACTTTTTTTTACTTTATTTTCAAATTCATATTGTTCTGTAGCATGTGAAAGGGCATCGAACTAATTCATATAACCGCTGATATGTTATGGGACAGAAGTCCAGTCAATATTTTAGAGTAGTTTTATTGTTTGTTAATTAGACGAGCGATATCTTTGCGAATATAAAAAAATCAGTTCACGGGCCCGCGTTAATTATGAAGGCGAGTCTTATTCAAGTTCTTGTCCTATTCTGATTTCCTTGATTTACCTTGCATTTGACTAACTCTTTTGTCTTGTCCAGGCAGGTTAGCTATGTATAATAACCAATATTGATTCTACCTCGTGTAAATAATTGAATATCGTTTCATTTAGTTGTTGTATCTTTCAGTTATGAACGACTTTACTTGTTTTGATGACTTTGACGCCGTGATACGTACATCAACTTTTTTTCAGATATATTTGGCTTTTGCTTTTCTCATAACTACATTGTTGGAAGGTTCAGGTTATTTATAATCAGTTCCCGGAAATATTTTCTATTTAATATCATACATCAATATTTTATAATTCGTGGAACTCGAAGGAATCAGTTTAGACTTAGATCTACATATCTGATTACCTTTGAATTTAAGTCTATTTCTTTTACAAATGTTCAACCTGGTTGAATTAGAGCTCGAATTCGTTAGTTTGCAGTGAAGACTGAGTGATTCTACTTCTTACAAACACTTGGTTTAACATGTGTCTGCGGTTCAGTTCTTATTTCATGCTGTTAACTATCGTGTAAATATGCCAATAACCTGTTTTGTTGATTTCTGTGCCCCGTTCTGTAATTAAAAGTTGATGAAGTTACCAAAAGTTTTCAATTTCGTGATTCTTGTTCCTACTCAACAAGAGCCAAAAAGATGGCACAGTCGATAAGCAATAATGATGAAGGTTATGACTTTTCAACTCCTCAACACTTCAGTGATTTGGTGCTCGTCGTCGAAAACACCAAGTTTCACGTCCATAAATGCGTTCTTTCGTTGTCTTCTCCCGTGTTTGAAAAAATGCTTACATCAGATTTCCTTGAAAAGGACGCCAAGCAAATAGATCTACCAGGCAAGAAAAGAGATGAATTTGGTGCTTTTCTAAGAGTGATTTACGCGGACGTAATTTCCCAAGGAAAGCAAATCAACGGTAGGTATTGGGTAAATAGAAGTGAAAAAACATTATGAATATATGAATGTTATCCGAACAAAAAAGCTGCGTCAAACTTACGAAAACTTAGTACTTTTGATACATTTTATAATTTCGCAATGACTGACTACCAATTTGGAAATTAAAAACGTATTTAAAAGATTATTAGGTACTTTTCGAGGAAAGGAATTCGCCGCCAACTGAAAATCTTTCAAGAATTTAAAAAATCTTCTTTTTAACCGGCTAATATCTAATACATTTGCAGACAAAAACAATGAGTTTCTCCTCCAACTTGCTGAAGAATACCAAGTCAATAAAGTCAAATATCTGTGCCACCGTAAGTTTCTAATATCAAGCGTTGAAGAATCCAATTGTTTTGGGATTTATAAAGTAGCGGAATCCTACAACCTTGAAGATGTCATGGAAAAGTGTGCGGAAGTGGCATCTCGCAAACCGTGCTGGGTTTTAGAAAGTTCTGGCGATTTTTGTGGATTAAAAGCCGAAAATCGGTTAAGAGTTTATGCCAAACGAGCGAGATATTTCGATGAAACTTTAAAAGTTGAAAAGTAGTGAAGACCTGGAGCCAGCATCCTCACTTTGTTCTATTAGAGATTCACGTCGATAAACTGAAAAATTTTTTTWAAAAACTAGCTAAATAGCCAAGTTGCAAAATAACCCTGATTGTTTCACTTTCAAAAAACACAAAATTCTATTAATCATGATAAAATAACTGCTATGAATGTCGCGTTCTGACTGGTTTGGGGTGCGTGCTTTATGAGAGCACATTGCACGCGCGCGCACTTTCCGTTGCGTCATTCCTACCTATTATTGTAATTTGTATTTTATAAAAGAAATAATAAACTTGCTTGCTGTGCTGTGTGCAGTCATAAAGCACTTGGGGATTGGCAGAACACTGACACTGAACACTGTGTTCTGCCAACCCCCGCGTGCTTTATGACAGCACACAGCACGTGCGCGCGTTTTCTTTTTCTTCAATTTCATCAGTAAAGCCTGGTTTCCATATGATCGGTCACGATCGCCCAATTGCTGAAATTATTAATGCGTGAATCGCTCATAATCGCTATCAATTTCTGACATATGTTTCCATTAAGTCTCTGAAGTTTATGCTCCAGTGAGCTCGACTTGAGTTTGTGGCTCTTTTTTGAGCCAACGGATATTATGGTCAGTTGTAATCTATATGAGCCAAGCGTGGTAGCATAGCGTTTCGACAACATGGTGGACAAAGAAAACGTCTTTCTTCAAGGAAGCGCTGTTCTTCTGCTTGCTTTAGCCCAGCGAAGATCAATTTTGAAACAGAAAAGATCTCATCGTTTTTGGGTGAGACATATCTTCAAAAACAGAAAACAACAAGGTCTTTACCACGGCTATTCGATGAGCTTCGACTGTTTGATCGAGAATATCTTTATAGGTGCAATGCTCATAGTTAACAGTTTTTGTATGCATGTCACAGCTATTTTTCAGAGATTAAAACCATTGCTTTGCTAGTAGCATCAAAATATTTGAATTTTTTTTAATATGAAGATGTATTTGTATGTGCACTGATTTATAAACTATGAACATGGACTATTGTAGTATCGTTATAGAGTATACTGTTATTATAGATTACTAGGTTACCTTTGGTTAGAGCCCGCGAGTGGCCAGCGGTTAATTGTGTTTGTTGCTGGTCGCCATGTTTTGTTGAGTAGAAGGTTTTTCCGAATAAAGCCTTACAAATGGCCTTCATTTTTCTTTAAATTGCTTCACAATTCATTACAGTATGTTCTATTTCTGATATTCTTTTTGAGTTCAATTCTTAAATAAAATACAGTGGAACCCCGTTAATAAGGACATCGTTGGGACGGACAAAACTGTCCTTTTTAACGGGGTGTCCCTATTAACCGAGGTGTCAGAAAAACAACTGAAAACACATTTTTAACCATTTATTTTTACTGTACTGTAAAGCTTGAACTACAATGTTCAATATAACAGCCTAAACTGGAACAAAAAGTGCATGACCGTACAAGAACTACATTCGCATTTACTGAACTGTATTGTACAATTTCATTTTGAGTTGAGTTCTGGAAAATGACAGTGCAATGGTATTGCGAACTTTGTCTACTTCATTATGCTGTCAGTAATAGGAAACTATACTGCAATGATCAGTGTGTGGTCCGTTGATACGCAAAAACTGACAATTTTTTCCGTATTAAGCTCATTATATCAATAAACAAATAAGTAAAGACGTCTTCAAATTTGAAGTGTCCTTAATGCGGAGTTGATTTTGTATGGAAACTGTCATTCAGGTCCTAGAAGTGTGTCCTTTGTACTTATTAACGGGTGTCCTTATAAAGCGGGTTAATTTAACAGAAAATGTATGGAGCTTTCTTTGGGACTTTGAAACCTGTCCTTAATAGAGAGGTGTCCTTATTAAGCGGGTGTCCTTAGAGCGGGGTTCCACTGTAATAATAAAATAATAATAACATAGAATGTATGTTTAACAATAACAATAAAGATCTATTAAAGTAAGATAACTTAAAGCTGAAAGTATGTGTTGTCATTCTGTAGAACAACATTAGAACTGGATTGTCCATTATAACTGTTATTACGGTGGCCGAGTGGGTTACGGTGGGTTACCTTTGTTTATTAAAAGGAACGCCTGGGAGCTTTCAATCTGAGTTTGGCTTTTTGTTCTTTTGCTTTTGGTCGTTTGACAAATCGCCTGAAAACAAAATATCGGAGGCAAAGCGGAGAAATGTCAAAAGCGAAAGTCTTTCATGACAAAATGCTGGACGACAAAGAGTAGTATATTATGTTGCGCACGGGCCGGATTTTGGGTGGGCTAGTGGTGGGCTAGCGCTGGGCTAGCGGTGGGCTAGTGGTGGGCACATTAATTATTCATCAAATTTTAGCATAAAACGACGGGTAGGTATTGTTTCGGGTTACCATGACGACCAATTGACGTCATAAGACTATTGTTGACCGGTATGAACAAGTCTTTGTTTCGGGAATGGTGGGCCAGTGATGGGCACCTCCATTGTTTATTAATTCGTTACCATAAAATGACGAGCAGACTATTGTTTATTAAATCGTTACCATAAAATGACGAACAGACTATTGTTTATTAAATCGTTACCATAAAACGACGGGGAGACTATTGTCAGACAAGTTTGTGCAAGTCTTTTGTTTAGCAATCCAAATTATAGAGCGCAGGGATTTTGAATTTTTAACTCCAAAACTCAACCAACCAAGCAAGCAAGCAA